GGGGCGGGGCGGCGGCTGGGGTCTGCAGCGCTGTGCTCTCGCACCCAGGATGTGCGTAAAGTGACACTTGCATGCATATTGTACGGCGGGCCGGGGTCGCCTGCCTGCATCGGCTCTCCGGGGGGACCTTGGGGTCGCGCTGTCCGCCCCGCCCCGCCCGAGCAGCCCCCCACGCACCTGGCGTGGACCCCGCCACACCATTCTGCACAACACACGTGCGACTTGGTCGTAGACCTCGATATAAAATGAATGAGTGAGCGAGTACGCGAGCGGTGAATGCAATGAATGGCGGCTCAGAACTGCTCCGGCGAGCGCGTCTGGGACACATCCGACCCGGAGGCGCGCGGGGCGGGGCAGGGCGGGGCGGGGCGTCCTCCTGCGAGTCCTGCCTGTGCCGCGCGGGACGGGGTCCCATCATTCCTTTGCCTGCCTGATGCCTGATGAATAATGCTGCTGTCGCGCCCCGCCCCGCCAGGAAAAGGGAAAGGCATTACTGGGAGTCATAACTCGACGTCAAAAGTAAATCCCCACGACCGACGCGACGGGCTGTGCTGCTTTTGCTTTATGTATTTGATATCGCCCGGGCGCGCCGTGCGGCAGTTTTGCGCTCCACGCGTGGGTCGGGTTGCGAGTTGCAGTGCCGCTGTCGCACCGTGAGGTATGCACTGCAGCGGCGGTGCATTTCCTCTGTGAAACTGGAGATGCCGGGTGCCGGCGGCTTGCAGTAACCGTGCGGTGTGGCCCGCGGCAGGGCTCTCGGCACGACAGGGCCCGACTAGAGTTATGGGGTGCAGAGTCAAAGGAGGCGGACTTGCTGTTCCCTTTTATTATTCTGCCCCGCCCCCACTCATAGAACTTTCATAGAACCCATTCTGAAATGTGATGGATTATATTTTGTGAGTGGGTTTAAGGTACTCCGCCCCTTCGTCGTCACCACGAAACCCTCGTTGACGTCGAAAGCGCCGCACAGTAACTACAGAGTACTCGCCCGCGACGTGCAGCCCCTGGCGTGCAGCGCGGCGGTGGCCCTTCGTATTCGGCCTCGGCGCGGTGGTTGGTGGTGGTGGTGAGCAACCGTAGGCTGCTTCATCATGAAGTGCCCGCCGCAGGCCGTCGGCGGCCCCGCCCCGGGCACGGCGGGCCACGACACGACAGGACAGCGGGGCAGGGCGAGCCCGGGGCGAGCCCGGGGCGAGCCCCACGGACAAGCCGCGGTGAGCGAGGCTCGTAAAAAATGTTGCGAGGGGCGGGTCTCTTGTGTTTGCCTTGTTCATGCACTTGGATGTAGGGCAACACGGCGGCGGCTGCAGAAGTAACAGCGACGAGTGCAATAGTATACTATAGGGGCCGAGCACCCGGCCCGCTCCCCGGCCCCCGCACGCACCTGGTTGGTGTAAAGACTCGGTGGGGGGAGACACACGCCCCGGAGGGCGTATCCGTTACAGGGCCCCCTGTGACAGCTGACAACTATTAGGCCCTCCGGGGGGTGCTGCCTGCCTGCCTGCCTGCCGGGCCGCCTGCCCCTTCTTACCCCTCGGTAGGACGAGGGGAGGGAAAGGGTGCGGGGTTGTTGTCGGTGGGAGGCTGCCTCATCCCGGAAGTGCACGGCGTCGGTGGCAGCGACGCGTCGGCGTCGAGTCGTCGCGTCGGTGCGGCGCGCATCTGGCTGCTGCTGGAGTTCTTCAACTGCTTCAACGACACGAGTTTTTCACACAGCACCGCTGCTGCGTCCCGAGTCTCAAATCTCAAAGCTGCGGGCCCCGGGTTTTGGTGGTGCACGCGTCGTCGAGCCCAACAACGGGCCAGAACAGGTATAGGACGTTGAACCTGTGAACGGGAAGGGTTGCGGGCGACGCCGTGCGGTGGCCGGGCAGCCAGTGTGTCGCCGGCGGGCCGGGGCTGACGCCGCGCTGACGGTGCGCGCCCATCCGCCGGACCTCCTCAAACAACCTCGCGTCATGCTCACGCCGCCGCGAGGAGCGACTGTATCGCTCAAAACTGTCGTATTGGTTGGGGCGGTTGGCATATGGGTGCCCCCCCCCCCCCGCACCGTCTGCAGCCGTTGCGGATGTCGTACGTATACGTACATGCATCGTGGATCCGGCTGGGAGGGGCTGCCATCTCGCCGCGCTGATTGTACACAACACATCCTCGTACACGTGCAGGTGGGCCGGCGGGCCGCGGGCCGCGTACGGTACGGAGTACGGCGCGGTGTACGGGACGTGCTTAGTGCTGCACACACGCGGGCAGCCGGGGCAGCGCACCGGCCGCGCAGGTGTCCGTGTGCGACCCGCTTATAGAGGAGGGACAGGGTGTTTGCTGTAGGGAGGGGGGGGGGTCTTTTTATGGTTTCACAGGGCGGTGCGAAGCGAAACCTTCGCGCCTGTGCCAGGTGCTAGAGCACTGAATTGCATCTAGCCTCGTGGGTTAGGGCTGGGGTGCGGAGAGCAGCATGGAGGAATTTGTATCTCTCTCTTTATTATTTCCTCATCTCCCCGGCCCGGCGCGACACCATACCCAGCGCGTGGTGGGCTTGCCGTGCCGCGCGCGCTCCAAAAATACCTCCTCCCCGGTCCCGGCAGTCCTTGCCATAAGTGAAGCAGCGCGCTCCTGGAGGCATGGGGGCCTGCTCGAGTGACTTCCTCGTGTTACCCACGCAGCACTGCGGGGACTGGGGGTCTAGGAGGGCCTCGGCCGCGGCCTTATTGTGCCTTTCCGGATTGCTTTTCCTAGGACTAAAGGGGGCGCGTCTCATTTCGCGGCGACTAACGAAGTGTCCCGTGTCCGTCTCCTGCTGCTCGGCCGTTTGTTCGCCGACCTCCTTCGGCTCGTGTCGCCGGCCGGGGAGTGTGTCCTGCCTTCTGTTGTCGGTTTCACTCCCGGACCCACCACCGGGCAGCGGGCCGGGCCGGGCCGGGCCGGGGCGCGCATTTGTGTGACGTGAATGAAAATGAGCGAGAAGGATCTCTCGTTGGGCCCGTCGAGCCTGTCCGTCCGTCGTTGCTGGCCGTGGCCGTCGGTGCCGTCCCGCAGGATTGACGGCCGATGGGAGAGGGACGGGGCTCCTCGTGTGTTGGGTTGGGCTCGTTCTGAGAAAGTGAATCTGCTGCCTTGTGAGCGGGCTGGGCTCTGAAGGTGTGCGGTGTGCCCCTCAGGGCCCCCCGCCCGACCGCGCCCCGCACCTGGGTGACAAACCCACCAGCCAACATGTTGGCGGCAGGCGCGTCGCGGGAAAGGGGGGAGCCTGCGTTGACGCGACGGACACCCTACCCACCCAACCTGCTCTGGCAGACTGACCACTGACCTTTCCTTGCAGACCCCCCCCCCTCCACGTCATTCCTTTTCATCGAGGTGTCTTACTTTCTTCCATCAGGTGTCTGGCACCGCACGCACAACCAGCAGACACTGTCTGTGCATAGGGGCTCATGTCAGCGGCTTCATCCCATATGTTGCACTGTCTGTCTGTGCATAGGGGCTCATGTCAGCGCAGCCGCCGGGGACCGCGAGGGGTAGAGGGAGGTAGGAGGGAGGGACAGTGTGCGGCATCAGGAATCATACCCTGCTGTGGAGGCCATCGCCGCCCTGGTGCGAGTCATGCTGGGAGACGTCCGGTAAGACCCCCCCCCCCCGCCTTTCGTCTCTTTCGTCGTCGAAACCGACCCCGCCCTCCTGCTCTGCCGTGTCGCGGGCGAGAACGAGAGATCCCCGCAGCGTCCACACCTCTCTAAATGGGCTCATGGACCCAGCTGCGTCACCCGAGCGCCCCGCTCCGCCATGCCACGCCGCACCAGTTCTCGGCCCACGCCCGCGTCTCTAATTGGCGACATGAAGGAATCTCATGACGGCGACGACGCCTGCCTTCATCCCGACTGGGTGCGAGGCCACAGCAGCAGTCATGTCCGCTGCGCTACACGTGGCGTCATCGCACATCTCGGCCCCAGAGCCCTGAGACACGCGACGAACCCTCGCGCACCCCTCAGTCCGACTGACCGTCATCTTCTCCTTTGTTTCAGATGCGACCGGCTCGAGCGCTGGTGCTAGCCGTGCTGACCGCTGTTCTCGTTGGCTGTGCGGCTACCTCGGACATCCACCGCGCCGACATTGGTGAGTGTAAAACTGACACGTGATTTTACTTCGGGGGTATAATTTCTTTTTGGATGGGGGAAAGCTTGTCTACACGCAGGTCAGTAGTATGCGTCGTCGAACACGCGTGGCATACCGGGGGTGTTGGAAATGTGCGGGGGGTGAGGGGGCACGCCACACGTAGCGCGGGGCTTCCCTGCCGTGCCGCCGGCCGCACTTGTCCCGCCGGTGCTGTTTTGTACTGTTAAAGGGCCGACCGCCAGGACAGAGGGGTTCAGTTGTGGCAGCACACCAGATTGCCTTCTTCTTATCAGTGGCCATCAAAAGTGGTAATCGCTCTTCTTTATTGGCGATTCCCTTGATATGTTGGAAGTTTTGGCAGCGGGATTTAATCTGCGCCTAGGGAGTAATGGAGCTGGCCTATCTGGAGCGGTGTCGCCGTGTGACAAGTGAACGGGCGGGGCGGGGCGGGGCGGAATGTGTCCGGCCCGCCTGGGGGAATGCCAGGAGGATATGTCGGGGAGCCGGCCCCGTTTCTCTTGGAGGGCTGCTCTGGGACTGGTTAGGGAGTCTCGCGGATTCCTTGTTTGTTCGCATTGGCTCTTGCTGCTCGTGCTCACCGAAAAGGGGGATGGGGTAGGGGGGCACAGGGGGAGACGCCACGCTATAGCGATGGGCGTGGAGGCTCCGGGCGCGGGTTTGCTCGAGCAGGCAGACGTCGATAAAGCATAGCCATTACGGAAACAAATTGGCTGTTAAGGGCCTAACCGGCGCGGGACGGCACGGCGGTGGGTGGGACCGGCGTTAGGACGACTGCGGACATGACCTGGGTCCCGAGGGTCAGGAGTGACAACTGCGGACATCGCGGGCGGGAGGGCGTCTTCCTCGAACGCGGCCGGCCGACCGGCTGGCCGAGTGTGACAACTGCGGACGTCCATGGCAGACGGGTTGCCTACCTCCGCTCCGGCAGGCGCTCCTCCGCCTGGGCGGCACGTCCGGGCTCCGGACTTTGCCTCAGTCAGACGCTTGAGTGATAACGGAGCTAGGCGGGTTCAATCGCGTACAGCATGAGAGTGGTAGTGGTCGCTGGTTTGAATGCCAGTGACTGCCAATATGTTTCTTATTTCCTGTCCTAAAGGGAAGAGCAGTACGGAGTTGGCTCTCGGTGCTGCCCAGAACTCCTCGGTGGCCGCGTGGACAAGGGCGTAGCGCTTGATAATGTTGTCGCTGGTTCGAATCCCAGCGACTTCCGATTTCTTTTGTTACTTTTTTAAGGGGAATAGACCACTACCACTCTCATGCTGTACGCGATTGAACCCGCCTAGCTCCGTTATCACTCAAGCGTCTGACTGAGGCAAAGTCCGGAGCCCGGACGTGCCGCCCAGGCGGAGGAGCGCCTGCTGGAGCGAAGGTAGGCAACCCGTCGGCTATGGACGTCCGCAGTTGTCAGACTCGGCCAGCCGGTCGGCCGGTCGCGTTCGAGGAACACACCCTCCCGCCCGCGATGTCCGCAGTTGTCACTCCTGACCCTCGGGACCCAGGTCATGTCCGCAGTCGTCCACACGCCGGTGGGACCGTGTTCGGCGGGCGAGGGGGCGTCCCCCGGGGCTCCCGGCCCGGTGGGGTGGGGTCCGCCGCCCCGCCGGCCGGCGCTGCAGTTGAGCGTAATAGGATTGGCGTTACCGTCCCGCGACAGGTGCGCAGGGCCGTGAAAAACCCGTTGCGCCGACGACGGCGACGTCTCCTGTGACTCTGTGAAGCACCCCGGCCGCGGTGCCCGGTCTTGCACTCTCTGACGCGGTTTTCCTTTTGTTTTGTAGGCGTGCTCGTGGACCTGCACGACGATGGACACGGCCAGGGTGCGGCTCGGCGCACGCGCTGCAGCGTGCTCAACGTGGCCGCCGTGCAGCCCGTGCTGGCCGCGCGGTGGGCCGCGCACGTCGTCTCCTCGCAGGCGCACCAGGTCGCCGTCGGTGAGTACTCGGCGTCCGATGGGCTGCCTATCTCCCGGGCGCCTCCCGCTCCTCTAACGGCCGCCCTGCTCTCTCGCTTGCAGACGTGCGGGTGTTCGACACGTGCGCCGACCCGGCCACCGCGCTGCGGGACACGTTCCTCGCCGTCAGGGAGGCCATCGAGCAGCAGGACGTGCCCCTCCTGGGCCTGGTGGGGCTCGGGGACGCCGAGGTGGTCGGCGAGACCGTGAGGACGCTCAACGCGTTCCATATCCCGCTGGTGCTCGCCTCGCCCCGCCTCGCCGAGATGGTGCCCCCCGAGAGCAACACGCTCACCACCGCGCCCGACATGGCGAGCATCGTGCAGGTTGGCACATTTTCTTCTGTCTGAGCCTCTCTGTTGCTTCATCCCATATGTTGCTTCATCCCATATGTTGCTTCATCCCATATGTTGCTTATTAATAAAATAAAATCAATTGCTAGGCCGTGGTTGAGCTCGGGAAGGCCCTGGGCGTGACATCTATTTCGGTGGTGTCGTCGTGCCCGCACAGCCTAACTCGCTTCAGGCACGACCTGGAGGCGCGTGACATGCGCCTAGGCCGCGTGTTGCAGGTCAAGAAGCACTTTGCCATCCTGGGCGATGTTGTCCGAAAGTTTCTTGAGGAGGGGGTAAGTCTTGAGCATTCTCGGAATAAATGAGTAACTTACTGTTTTTATTTCTCTTATATCGATTTCTCGTGCATTTTTAGGAGGAAGGCGAAACTGTTGCTTTGGTGCTTGAACCCGAAGAAATTAGTGGCCTAGCTCAAAGTTTACGCAGTTACCGTATTGCATCTCGCAGATTGCAGCTCATTACAGGAACAATTGGACTAAACCATAACTTGATGCGTCTCTGGAGGAACTTGTTTGCAGGATCGTTCCTCATTGAACCGCACATGCCGGAGCTACCTGATTTCCGTAACTACCTTTTGTCTACCTTCAGAGAGGCCCAAACAAATGTGAATGAAACCTTGGTGAGAGAATACATGTCAGTTGTGTACAGTTGCCACTGGTTCGATGATCTAGAAACTGCTCAGAAGCACTGTAAAAATTTGTCAATGATGGAACTCTCACATAAGCTCCAAATCAATCCTGAGGTTTGTTATCTATCTGCTATCTTTCTTTTTTTTATTTATTGCAGAAATTTTATTTGCCCCTTTTTCTATAACAATTTGTTTTGTTCATGCAGGTTACATTTGTTGTGAAAGCTGTGTCAGCCTATTCAGCTGCACTATTTTTGTTGAGAGCATCTCGTTGTGAGAAGAGTGGAATGACCAAGTCTTGTCTTGACTTGCTATCACCCTATTCGCGCCAGGCTACCTCTGAGTCTACACCTCCATCACTGGCTAGGAGTGATCCTCCAGACAGCACTAGTCTGCAGCAAGAAATGCTAACAATGCTCTCTCAGTTGAGCTTACCATCTGGACATGACGCTCCATTTGAGCTCTCTGGCACCAGAAGACATCTCACTCATGATGGGAGACTTGTAGCCAACAAATATTCAGTTGCTCGTATCAATGAGGAAGGCGATGTGGTTGGGGTAGGTCTCATAGAACTTTTTTTTTGGTACAATAGTACAAAATCTTTTCAATTATTCCTTATGCTAATTTTTGTTTGTTTTGTTTCTTAATTTAGATTGGCTGGTATTCTGATGATAAGGGTCTTCTAATTGACTCATCCATGCAGCGTGTTGCCAGTGCCCAACGAAAGGCCTCCACATCTGATAGGAAACAGCCCAGAGGATTCTCCTCAGACTCTACTTATCCCATGTTCCAAAATGAACCTCAGTTGGATAGCCTGACTGTTGTTGGGGAGGGTGTTGATGCTAGAAAAGTGGCACCAGACAATTATCTAGGGCGACTTTGGGCAACCATTATGGTGGCAGTGGCTGCTGTAGGTACAATGGTCACACTTTTCATCCTGGTTTATGTCCTCATTAAGATATGTGATGGAACCCTTGCTGGGAATCAATCCCTTGGAGTGCTTCTCCTCCTGGGTATTATGACCTTATTTGCTTGTGTTGTACCATTTGTTTTACCTGTGAGTGAAACTAAATGTGGTGTCCGAGTAATGATCTACCCAGTAGCTTTGGCTCTTTGTTATGGAATCCTACTTGTCAAAGTCATGCAGCTGAGGTCACTGGTCCTTCTTGGTTTGGGTGGCAGGATTTCTTACCTGAACCAATATATCATCCTATTCTTCATTGTCCTAGTCCAGGTAAGGAATAGAATCAATTAGTGATTTGGTAATATTTCTTTCATTTTTTTTTGTGCTGTTTGAAAAGTAATTTTTGATTTTTTGTTGCCCTAGGTTGTTATCAATGTCCAATGGTACATGACAAATGGGCCCCACCTACGAGTAGACACTGAAGGAACCGCTTACTGTGTTGTGCCACGCTCAGATTTCTTGATGTTGCACACATATATAGTTATTTTGGTTATTCTTGCCTTTGGTTATGGCTTGTCTGTGCTGAAAATCCGTCGTAACTACAAGGAAGGACGTTGGGTGACCCTTGCAGCTTTTCTCTCATTGCCTATTTTGGTGGTGTGGGGTCTGGTGTTTGGACTTGCAGCAGAACGCTATGATGAACTGACAACTTGCATTGCTCTCATGCTTCTCGCCATGATTCTCATCCTAGCAGTCTTCATCCCCAAGATGAGTACCATCTCAAAACGGGCCAAAGACTTTAAACATAAGAAGATGCATGTGGGTGCTGATTCAGTCAATACTATTTTTACCAACTTCTCTGATCTGCAGAGGTCATCTTCTAGACTTCATCCTCACCACAGCAGAAGACCAGGTTCTGGGCATGCTCCGGTTCATATTTCAAGATCATCCCCTATGGCTGCTGTGCCTGCACACACACCTCATTTATTGCAGCACAACAAGCATCTCTCTGTTCCTCATATGGCTGATGCCTACTCAGATTATGTTACTAAGAACCCAATTTATGAAGTTACAAATGGAGCATACCCATAGGATTCTAAATTTTGAAGTGGTGAGTGTGATATTGGTTCCATACCACATGTGATGTACAATTTAAATTTTAAGACTGATTTAAAGTGCCCTTCCGTTATCAATTACTGCATTTGAAATTTCTGAGCTCCTAATTGACATTTTGTATATCATGCCTGGTATTGCTCTTATACTTCATGTATCATTAGTAATTAATTGTAAATCATTGTAAATAATTGTATCTGATTTTTTCCCTTAGTGTATATATTTTATCTAGTACACTTAAAAGGGATGGGGATGAAAACAATCAATGAATGAACCTTGTGGTTTCTCCTTGTGTGTGTGTGTGTGTATGTATGCGTGTGTGTGTGTGTTTTTTTTTGTTGTTTTTTTTACGTGTCTTTCTTATTCGTTTCAAGTTGGGCCAGCCAGTAACTTTTGTAGAATTGTAATATCTCTTGTTATTATGTATAAATAGACTGTACATATAAATGATGAAGCATCTTGACTCATACAATCATGTACATAATGTTATTGTATACAAGTGGACTAATACTGACCGACCAAGGGTAGTACTGTCTTTTTAGGATATGAAGATGAATTATTTACATTAAGCTTGTTTCTTGAGGTATCTACTACCATGATCTGAGCTAACATGATGTTATGAAAATTTTTGCATGTTGAATTGTTGATCTAAGTACAAGAATTATTTTCTTTACATCCTATCTTTTGATTAAAAACTCATTAACTACTGAATTTTTGAAAGATAGTGGTAGTTTCAATAGATTTTGGTGTTGAATGCTTAATAAATTTGCTTTGTTGTCAGAATTCTGTCTGTAGATTACAAAAAATTATCTCTTCAAGTTGTTTTCATGTAAAAATGATAGTTGTAGTAGCCAGTTATTCTATTTCATTATCTAATGTAGTGTATGAGAAGCCATTTCTTTGTGAACTAAGTCATTATTTATTCTAATGAAATTAATAAAGCAGCAAACTGAACAACTGTGTGTTTACTGATTGAAATATGCTCCAAAAAGATGATTAATGTCCAAGGAGGAATGAAAAATAAAACCATACATGTAGGAAAATAAATATTTTACTTCCCAAGCAAAATGCTTTCATCAGGAAACCTGCACCTAGTTCGGTTACAAATTCTTATAGACTGGCAATCATAAGTATCAAATCTCAAAGTGAAATGCAAAGATTATGAACAGTTCTGCATTGCTCTTAGTAATATTGAAGACTAGATCTCTTGGCAAGCACTTCTGCAAGAACCCCAATGAAATTCCTCCAATAACGAAGGGTTTTATGTGAGAATCAATTCACAAGCACTGACTCTTGGTGAAATGAAAATATAAGAATATTTACTTTCTACACAGCAGTAGATAACAATTGCCTCAAATGCTTTATTCAACTTTCGTAAGTTCCATTTAAACAAGATTTGTACTGCAACATTCACTCATGGATGTAAAATCAAGCTGCATGTTAAAATATGAAGTTTAAATTACAGCACAGAGAAACAAAATCTAAAAATGGCATAACAAAAACAAACTCCCAAATTAATAACAAATATGACTCTTACACAGTATGAAACAATCTACCACAAGTTTTTCTTTTTACAAGACAGTCTAAAACTGCAATTACATAAATAAAATTGGTTCATCAAGTACCACCTGATGAACATACCATGTTGTTTTTCAATTTAATTTCATAGTAAAAAAAAAATATGTCAGTAAAAAGAAACTGTGAAATAACCATTCATTTACAAGTCTGTACAGACACCTTAAGTGAAACATAAAAAAAAAACACTGGTATGAGTTTCCTTTAAAAAAAGACAAATAAAAAGGAAGTTTTTAAGGAATTTGAAGTCATAAGACTTCAGGTACAGATGGAGTATTTTGTTGACCTCACATAGTTAAGAGTATGATCATCCTACAGCTTCAATAGAAACAAAACATTTCTTTTAGGCAGGTTGGTATTTTAAAATGAAACTGTTTTGGATTAATGGCATCTGTATAAAATAAGCTCTAAAATATGGACTGGCTGATGTAATGGCAGTGGTGCAATTAAATGATACTTATTACATTTTTTTTCTCTAATTGAATGCACGCCACAGCAATTTACCACTATGTATGTGAAATGGCATCTAATTAAATATGTCTATAATTTATTTAAATTTTAGCAACAGTGCGGATCAGATCTTCGTCCTCAGTACAAACCTCAAAAAAGGTAGTGTTATGTGCTGTCAGAGGACCCGCTTTCACCAGACATTTTATATATGGAAACTTTGAGCAGTTAGATGACACCTACTGCAGCCTACAGAGGGTGGGTAACCTTTCTGAGCCATGACTTCACTTAGGGGCAGCTCCCAAAACTTTCTTAACAGCAACCACAATATCTTCTGCCCGAGGAATGGCATATCCTTCCAAAGATTTAGTGTAAGGCATAGGGCCATCCATACCAGTAACTCGAACAATTGGTGCATCTAAATGGTAGAAGGCTTCGCCTGGAAGAAAAGTGATAAAATATTACAAAACTTGATGATGGCTTTTCTTAATGATAACTTTCCTTAGAAGGTGTGATCCACTTACTTTCCATGATGCGTGCACAAATTTCAGAACCAATACCACAGGTTGGCCAGCCTTGTTCAACAGTGACAAGGTGGTTGGTTTTCACAACAGACTGTTCAATAGTTGGAGTGTCAAGGGGTCGGAGAGATCTAAGATTAATAACTTCACACTCAATGCCTTGCCCAGCCAGTTCGTTTGATGCCTCCAAAGCCAGTTCGACTGCCTTTGAGTGAGCCACCAAGGTAATATGGTTACCTAGACAATAGAGAAAGTCTCAATAAAAATGGTTCTAATATATTTCTCAACGTGGGACAAAAGTATATCATACCTGCTCGCTCTATTTTAGCTTTGCCAATGGGCAGGACAAAGTCTTTCGATAAAGCCTCATCAGACATAGGGTACTGACTACCATACAAAAGTTCATTCTCTAGGAACACTACAGGGTCAGGGTCACGGATGGCAGCCTTCAGTAGACCTTTGCAGTCTTCTGAATTGTAAGGAGAAATGACCTAAAGTTACATAAAAGAGGAGCAATTAATGTAAAGCAAAAGATTTTCCCCTTAATCTCATATATAAAAAATATACAAACTTTAAGTCCAGGGCAGTGGGCAAACCATGCACCGAAGCACTGAGAATGTTGAGCAGCAACACCAGATGCAGCTCCATTAGGACCACGGAAAACAATTGGGACTTTTATCTATGACCAAGACAAAATAAACTCAATACCAAGATAGAAAAGAGAATATAAAGTTAAGGTCTAAACTAGCTGTCTCCATACCCTTCCAGCTGACATGTAATAAGTCTTGGCAGCAGAGTTGATAATGTGGTCAATAGCTTGCATTGAGAAATTGAATGTCATAAACTCACATACTGGTTTAAGGCCAGCCTGGAAAGGTAGAACATTGCATAAAGTGAACAGTAATATTACAATCACTTTGCATTACTGAATAAAATTGCATTATTACTCACAAATGCTGCTCCAACACAAATACCGGCAAAACCAATTTCTGTAATGGGTGTGTCGATAACTCGTTTGTCTCCATACTTCTTCCATAATCCTCTTGAGACCTTGTAAGCACCATCATACTGGGCAACTTCTTCGCCCATGATGAAAACAGTCTCATCACGTTCCATCTCTTCATCCAGGGCCTGGTTGAGGGCATCTCGAACTGTCATCTGCAAAACCGTACACGTAAATATTATACAAATTAGCAGTCTGACAGATAGAAACATGAACATCTGTACATCATACAGCTAACAAACTTTTGAAATTTAATGCTCTGTTATCTATGCACTGTGTTAAGAAATTGTCTGAAAAAAACGACCTTACATAATTCACAATCGAGACTAATCAAGGGAATAAATATGAGTTTGTCAGAAAAAACCACGAAACAGGTGCGAGTACCAGGTTCAGGGTACAAGGTAAAGCACATACGCCATAACCTATCTGACAATATGACAGGAAGTTTTAACTGTCTCGACAGATTCTAGAAAGACGCCAAGTGCTTCAGGTATCTTTTTTGAATTCACATTCATCTTCATTGGCTCGACATTCCGGTTAAATACAATATACATCACGTCATATCGTACCTGCTGAGCACAGGTCACCCTGGAGGTTGAGAAGGCTCGTCGATTCAGCACATTGGCTGCCGTCTGAAAAGAACACGACAACTATTTGTTTAACTCCTATTTAAACTAGCACAAAAATAACCAAAACAAGGTATAATTTAGTTAGCTGAAGAATTCAAACCTCACCTTTAGGAACATTTTCGTTGATGGACTCACAACCATTTTCCCAACCCTGTACCAGACGACACCAAAGGAGGTGAATGGGCAGAGCCTTCAGTAAAACGTCACAGAATGTTGATAGGTTCAAGGTTAAATAATGATAAAGGTGATAACGATTTGAGTCGAATGGAAAACTACATTGGAGTTTATTTTTAATTTAATCTTTCTTACAAGATCCTATTTAATATCAATTCTTTGAACGTTGCGGGGTTTAATTCGAAAGGGCATCGGGTTGGTAGAACCGCGAGTTACGTTGCAGAGGTTGCCAGTCCTTACAAAAGCTTCTTTTCCTCCACCTCTTCCTCCTCTTCCCCTCTCTCTGTCGTCTGCTTTACTTGCAGACGGTTCTTCACCGCGAGCGGGTGGGTTTTCTGCAGTACATTGTTGCTCCTTTTTGTGATTTTAGTTGTTGTAAGCGGTTTCTGACACTTAGTTCTCTTAATTTTCAGGAACCATTCCAAAATGATGCAATCATTGTTTGAAGCTTCGAAAAACAGCCCGTTTTTGAGCCCGATCACGGCTCAATGCGAGGCCAATCAACTTGTTAAGGGAAGATCAATTTCTGCTGCTGCCGTCGCCGAAGGAGGTAAAATACTTTCTCAATTCTTAATCCTTCTGTTAATGAAATTTATTTTGTTTAACAGACGTCAATGTTTCATTATGTCAAAAGGGAACCTGAACATTTTTGGCCTCAACATTTTTTAATGATGCATGAACCTAATTTTATACAAATCCGCAATGCTATATCTTTTTTTTTTTTAATCTTAGCTAAACTGATAAACTGAATTTTTTTTGCCTTAATTCTCCTTGTAAAAACTTCTTCTCATCAAAAGCAGAGTGACCTCTACTGCTAAAATCATGTCAATGTCACTCATGGATTTTCTTTCTGTTTTTGGCATACTTGTTTGGCTGACCTTCCCAGAAAGAAAAAACTTTTGTTTCATAGAGCTAAAATCAGGTTTTCAAGAGATTCACCTTTTTTTAAGTCATATATGTTACTTTGAACTCAATCCAATGTTTATTTCTTCAAGCTCCCTTTGTTTGTAGCATGCCATATCCTGAAATTATTGTCAACTATACTCATCTCTAAATCAATTTGGTGATAGTGATTTCCTCAGAAACTAAATTTCAGTAACAATGAGAGCCCTTCATAAAACCTATTCTTCCTTAAAAAAAAGTTGCAAAAAGGTCTTGAAAACTTGGAGGGAGGCGAGGGCATTCTAAAATTAGACTTGTGGTAGGAGAGGTAGTGTGGCTGGTCAGCTGCTATGGCGTGTGACTTGGCAACTGTCCAAGTTTAACCGTTCACCCTGTTGCTCAGCCCTGCTTTGATTTAGAATGAGCTTGACACAGATTCTTTCACCCTTGGTGTCTGACCTTCAGTTCTACTTTAATGGCCCAGCAGAATGCAGGACACCTGTCACTTCAATGATCACATGTGTCTACCATTTGTCAGTCATGCTCTTTTTAATTTTGAATTTCAGACAGTTGCGAGTTTGGTTCCAACAAATACTTTGCACTATGCGCCCTGGGTGGTATTCTATCCTGTGGTATTACCCACACAATGATTGTCCCTCTTGATTTGGTCAAGTGCCGTTTGCAAGTCGACCCAGCAAAATACAAGACCCTTGTTAATGGATTTAAGGTAAAAATTTAGGCTTTGAGTTCATTGCAAAAATGGGAATATGTGCACCATGTAAAAGACATGTCTATATTTCAGGTAACAATAGCTGAAGATGGAGCCCGAGGTCTTGCCAAGGGCTGGGCCCCCACCTTGATTGGATATTCCCTTCAGGTAAGGTCCTTTGATTTTATATTTTTTTCTCTGAATAAAAATTGATTCCTATACAAATTTCACAATGTTTCTTTACATTACAGGGTATGTGCAAATTCGGCCTCTATGAATACTTCAAGGTAGCTTATTCTAACGCTATTGGAGAAGAGAACGCATACACCTACAGAACATTATTGTACCTTAGCGCTTCTGCTACTGCAGAGTTCTTTGCTGATTTTGCTCTCAGCCCTTGGGAAGCTTGCAAGGTAATTCTTATTAAATTGCAATTGCTAGAAAGATACAAAAGTCTGTAACTATCGTGTGACCACAAATTTGTTTCTCCTCAGGTTCGTATCCAGACAATGCCTGGTTTCTCCAACACACTCCGTGGAGCCATCCCCATTATCATGAAGGGTGAGGGCTTCAATGGCTTCTACAAGGGTCTGGTTCCCCTCTGGATGAGACAAATTCCCTACACTATGATGAAGTTTGCCTCCTTTGAAAAGACTATTGAACTGCTTTATGCGTAAGTTAAATTTTAATTTAAAAATTGAAAGCTGTTTCCTTTTCGTCGCCACTGTTCAATATTTTTAATGATTATTTCCGGTTATTAGGCATGTTGTACCCAAACCACGAGCTGAATGCACAAAGGGAGAGCAGTTGATTGTAACCTTTGCTGCTGGTTACATTGCCGGTGTGTTCTGCGCTATTGTATCTCACCCTGCTGACACTGTTGTGTCTGTGCTCAACAAAGACAAGTCATCTACAGCAATGGATGTTGCCAAGAAACTAGGCTGGAAGGGTGGGTTTAAAACTATTCTTCAAAATCATATCATCTTACTGAATTCAAATTTACATCAAATATCACTATGGCTCTCTTACAGGTATGTGGGGAGGTCTTGTTCCCAGGATCATCATGATTGGTACCCTCACTGCCGCTCAGTGGTTCATCTATGATGCAGTGAAAGTGTGGCTCCGCATGCCACGACCACCTCCACCAGACATGCCTGAATCCATGAAGAAGAGGCTGGGCCTTGCCTAATTTACTATACTTGTGTAGATACAGACTGCCTTCTCTTCTGTTCTATTTTTTTGTAGGATGAATTCCATGACATGATGCCAACTTAGTAGTGGTGGGGCTGCCATTTTCATTAAGGTTTCATTATTAGGTCATAAACAATACAAACCAAGGGTGGTAACTATTTACCTGCTAATTTTTGAAATTCCTGAATCCAAATCTTTCTTCGTAACCTTTCAGATGTTTAAAATTTAGTAGGAATTTTACTGTACTCAAATCTCACTTTCATCTGTTTAATTTTTAATTTCCTATCTAGTCAGTAATCTTCAAAGTGTCTTTTTTCATAGACAGATTCATTCAGTATTAATCTCAAGACAAAGCGGTCTAGTCAGAATAAGACGAAGTGTACAAACTGTGCCAAAGCCAAAGTGTTTCATAAAATTCTTATTATGTACTTAATTTAAAACTGCTCACTCATCATTTTCTAGCTAATGTACTTACATAATTCGCCTTATGTTGCTTGCCAACCTATGGCCCCTTAGCAGTAAGTCGATTATTTCTCTTAAATCTGTTAAGGGACATTTTTTAATCAATTGACTTGCTACTTAAGATCCCTGTCTATTATAAATGGTTTTTGCCAATTATTTAAGGTTTCATTAAGTATGAAATTTATTATAAAATTAAGCTTACAAATTATTTATTGCAGCGGGCCTGTCAAATCAGAAGTGATTTATCATTTAAAAAATTACTTGTTATTTTATTATTGTGATTGTTGGACTTTTATTTTTTCAAACTTTGTTGTTATCTGTGGTTCAATGTTTAAAGTTTAGCAGAAAATGAAGTCTGTTCAGTAACCAAAGGCCTTATTTCATTCCTGCATCAAAGCAACTTGACAAAAATCCAACCTGATCCACATGTCACACTCATTATTGCTGGTGTGGATTTTTTTTCTCTCTATGCATTCCCCTGCCGCGTGGTCGCGGGCCCGGATCGGCGTGGCGGAGCGTGGCAGAGCGTGGCAGAGCGTGGCGTGGCACGGCGTGGCGCTCCATGGGCGACAACATCACTCTATTCTCATCGCGCCCGCCGGGTATTGCCATAACACGGGCAGGGGCCAAGCAGTCTGTTGTCGCAATGAGAGCTCGCTAAATGGGGTTACGAAATAGCCTCGCCCCTGCCGGGGCCGCCCAGAGGGGCCGCCCAGCCCCGCCTGTGGACCTGAGCACCACCCCCCGGCAACACCTTTGCTACGAGGAGCAAAAATCGCACAGTCCAGCTCCATATGCCGGTGTGGGAGTTCGTGGAGGGAAAGCGAGGCGCAGTGCGGCCATCGTGGGTGGAGGTTGGCCTCCAGGCACTCCTGGGGCACTCCCTCGAGCGACTTCCCCCGCCATCGTCACGGCCAGGTCAGGACGCTCGCTGGACGCCTGGGAGGACCGCACCAGCCAGGCCTGGGGTGCACGCGCGCTGAGCGGGCTGCCTATCCGACGCTTCGCAGGCGCTCTGCGAGCTCTGCGCTCTCTCGGCCCGCCCCGCCCGGCGCAGGGTGGGATGCTGTGGAGGCTGCGGTGCACCTGCTCCTCGGGCCCCTCGCTCGACGAGACGGCCGTTACCGCGCCCCGCACATTCTTCTTGGGAGGCCGTTAGTCCAGGGTCTCTCCCCAGACTTCGGTTTGACGCAGCAGAAACCTCTCGGACGCGATTTTTCTTCTTCTTCTTCCACTCTGCACTTTGTTTCCACGTCCGTGCCGGGCGCCGAGTGCTCCATGTACCTTATCCCGCCAGGCTGCGGGGGAGGCAGGGCCGGGGCGCGGCGGCGGGG